AGATTCTTGAAAAGAATTATCAGGTTAAAATGTCCTCTCTCTCTCCCTATTCAGTCCAGAAAATGCAGGGAATCCAGTATCTTAACAACAAATATACATTAGGACAGTATCATACTAAAACCAGTTTGGGCCTAGCAAATAGGTACTTACCTAGAAATTGATTTTATTCACTCCCTCCAAACATGGGAAAATTTTATAATGAGATGTGCACTTTATATGAGATAGGCATTTCCCATAAGAGCATTGTAGATTCCTATGGTGAATTCCCTTAATTCATTAAAAGTAATGTTTTAGTGGTGGATATAAGCTTACAAGAGATTATTCTTGGGGTCAGAGAAGGAAGGAAACAAGGTAATATCTATGCCTGAGTGACAGAAGTTTGGGAGCCTTTAAGAAGGCCCATTTCAAAATGGCTGTTATCACCAAAAGCAGAAAAAAAAAAAGCAAAGCTAATTACTATGCTCTCAGGATCTAGCAGTCAATTTTTCTACTAAGACTGGATAGATGCTTAAGAATAACACTGAGGAAATGGTGCCAAAAGTCAGCAAAGCACTGCTGGGTGAGTTTTCTTTACATGCAGCAGAATCTATTTCTAATTTATATATCATGTGTTAAATGTATTGGCTTTATATATTTTTCAGTTACTAAAATAATATGTCCACACACATACTGCTTAAAATCATCTTATTTTACTATTACTAATATGAATACTATACTTTTGAGAAAAATTGTCTCATTATCCAAAGAACTTACAAAAATGATTTTTCTCTTTGTTTTGCTCCATCTGTACAGGGAACTAAAAAGAAGCCAATGCACATTAAAAGAAAACTAAAAAAATTGTGAAGATCTTTGAAAAAAAGGACAGTTGAAAAAATATTCCAGTTTAATAATCAAGATTTACCTATATACCACAGAAAACACAATGCAAATTATGGCTGACTGCTACCTAAAAGGTACTGCAAAGTTAACAGAATTTCATAACAAGATCATATGAAATCATAATGTTGAACAAAAAAATTCTGCATATAGCCTTTTTTAGAAGCAGAACATACATAAAGCATTTAACAAAGATACTTACATTTGAAGGCTTAAGTTTGTTAATGATTGTCGTTTTGCCACTATTATCCAGTCCAAGGCACAAAATATGAACCTCCTTCTTCTTTAGGCCAAGCAAACCCGAAAGTTTATCTAGCAATCCCATAATGTGATTCAATAAACCAGCTGCAAGTAAGAAAAAAAGATATATTACCCAAAGGTACCTTAAGTATGGAAAATATGGGTATGTGTATAAAAAATTAAAAATTTAAAGACATATAATGATAGTGTGAAGGCTACGTCAATGCAGCTTTGCACTTAGTAAACAGAGTATAAGCTGATTACCAGAAAGAAGCCTAAACTGATATGCAGATTTGCAGCTTATAGCTGGTAACATAGAACAATGTCTTTGAAATCACAACATTTCTTAGAAGATAACCGAAATCAGCCTCAGTATCACATGTAGTCTGCCAATTGTGAAAATATCTATGAATGAGGCTGCAGGCCTTCTGAAAAATCTGGAACAATGTATAGGCACTGGAGTTCATGTGGCGTCTAATGCTAAAGCTTAGAAAACAGATGACAGACATGAGAGCACAGAAAACCTGAGATTTTGGCTACATCTTTTGAGCTAAATCTTTACCTGAAGCTAGCCCCACTGTTATAGTTTGCAATAATATGAAGTTATAATAAATTTACTGCTTTTGCTTGCTTGCTTGGTTAGTTTAAGTTTGGGTAGGGTCTTCTATCAAAGCAAAGAATTCTGATATTGTTTTCCATATTTCTCCTTAGCCCTCACGTTTATCTTTGTAAATCATCACAAACTCATTTGGGAAGAAGGTGATTTACACAGGCACAAATTTATTGACCCTTACTAATGACCTGTTTTCTTAATTGTAACCTATCTGGAACATCCTACTAAGTGTTAATTTGAAAGAACTTCATCATATTGGTATACAATAAGTAAACACTAATTTTAGATTTCAATTTACTTTAATATCATAAAAGTTTCTTTGATAACTTGTCTCCAAAGTGTTCATTTTGTTTGTTCAATTAATTCTTTGGAAAAAACTTCTTTCTAATGTAAACTATTTTAAAAACTCCATCCGCAGGCTTGGTGCCTACAGCATAGTGGTTATAGCACCAGCCACATACACCGAGGCTGGAGGCTTCGAACATGGCCCCGGCCAGCTAAACAACAATGACAACTACAATAAAAAATAGCCAGGCATTGTGGGGGGCGCCTGTAGTCCCAGCGGGAGCCTGAGGCAAGAGAATCACTTAAGTCCAAAAGTTTGAGATTGCTGTGAGCCATGGCACTCTACCGAGGGCGACATACATAGTAAGATTCTGTCTCAAATAAATAAATAAAAATAAAAAATAATAAAAAACAAAGTCCATCAGCAATCCAAAGTTCTCTAAATATTAATCTCATCGAATTAACTTATTTGCATCTCCAACTAAAATTCCATAGGATTGTCATTACTATGGTTCCTTCAGTATTTTTTATTCCATACAATCCCAGGCAAGGCCATGCCTTGAAGGATGTGACACTGTAGCAAGTTAACCAATAAGAGATTTCCAAGAAAAGTGCTTCTGAAAGGAGGTAGCATAGTTGACATTTTGCTTAGGTCCCTTGGAAGATCATTATGGGCAAAAATTTCAAAACTGAATTTCAATGATGCATAGAAAAGAAATAGTGCAGTGCCATGCACAAGAATGGGGGTCTTAAGCACATCAGCCTGAACTCAAGGGATGAGTTTGACCTCAAGTATTCCATTTGTGCCACTTGAATATAATTTTCTGCTTGTATTAGAGATTCAAATCTCTCTTGATCTAGTTCTTTCAATTTAAGCTTAAGTAACAGCATTTGTAGAATTTACTTTCAATTTATCTAACTATATGAAACAATTCACAGACAATCTTAAATCAAAGTAAATTTGCTATTACTCTATTTATTACACTAAACATATTGCAACAAATTCATATAGCTTGTTTTCTATTTTCATACAATTTTGAGCACATTTTTTAGAAATACGACCACTTCTCACATCTTCTCCCTCTGGGTATCTACTAAGAAGCATTGATTGTCTAGACTAGAGCCAATGATATTTTTCATAGTATCTTGTATTGTGACTTTGCATCCTTCTTCAGGGATTACAAAACACCTGATACATGTTACTGAAATATTTTGGCATATACTATTTACAAGAGATGTCAGCTTTTCTAAAAGATGTAATATATATTGAAGTTGCTTTGTCAATATCATATAGGTTTATATATACTTCTTTTTTCATTAATTAAAATTTTCCTTATGTCTACTTTCTGCATGCATAGAAAAAGAAAAGATAATTCAAAATGCTTAACATTCATTTATCATATGTTCAGGGCATAGTAGGAGATTCAATTGTTGTCTGTAGTTTCCTGCTTCGATAGCCATGATTATCAACCCTAGCTGCACTCTGGAATCAACAATTGAGTCTGAATTTTTGAGAATGAGATCAGGGCATGTGTGGTTTTAAAAGCTATACAGTGTTTCTGATGGGCAGGCACTACTGCCTTTCAGAAAACGTTCATGCATAGCTATTTCATGCATAGCTTTTAAGGTTGTTCACAATGTAGCTCCAATCAGTCTTTCCAGTTTCTCGTCCCCTGTACAGCCAAATTCTCTGAACTGTTCTCTTAAAAACTGCTTCCCAAAGTACCACAGGTTGCCAGTAGAGTCCAGAAGACTTAGACTGTTATCCACAGTTAAAGGCTTAGGAGGTAAGCTATATACTGAGACGTAGCAGAGTTTCTCGGGCAAAGGAAACACGATTACCGGCACTTTGTAAACTTTAAATATATTTGTTGATTTAATTGTTGCATAATCTTACTACCCAAATAAACATTCTTATTCATCTTTCTGTTTTGATGAAGAAATTTCAACGATACTTTTCACACATCAAATAAAAAGGCCCAAACTGGACAATGTTAAAATCAACCAATCAAATAAACAAAAATTCGCCCAAACCAGTTCAATTTGTTTTCTAGGGTCCTTATCACCGGATAAACCCAGTTCCTTTCCACTCCTCACACATAAGCAACAACTACCCGCCTGGAGTGAAAAATGTGGGAAAGTGCAAGGAAGAACTCTAAAATTGACGGGGGTCGAGAGAGTGGCTAAAGACACCAAAAGGAGATAGATACCTGGCTTTCGAGGTTAGTCCCGCGAGCCCAGCACTGCTCAGAAACAGGAACCGACGCGCTCACTCGTATCCGACTCTGAAATGGAAGTCTGGCGCCGAGGTCCCTCAGCCTTCTCCTCTATACCTCCACAGGAAGGATCCCAGGTACTGAGCAAATCCTTGCACACAAGTTGGGGAAACTGGCCGCTTCTGCATCAGCCGGAGCATCAGGGGCTAAGCAGGCGCCTGGCAGGAGACGTTCCCTTGGCAACACGAGCCTCTTCCGGTTCCGAAGCCACGCCTGCTTGGGAGTCTGAGCGCGTCAGCCTCCCGGTTCCAGTATCTGGGATTGGGGAGGTGCGGGAAAATGACAGAGGCACGCCGAGGAACCTTATATAGGTATTAAAGAAGTTATGAGCACAGGTGGCGGTGGAACTTCCAATTTTCTTCCAGGGGCTTTCGGGTTCTCGGTGACGCATGATGGGAGTTGTAGGCGCGCGCACAGCCTACTGGGAAGCGCTCGGGGTTGCGCCTGCGCGTGGTGGGACTGGGCTCTAACTGAGTGTCCCACCGCACTTCTAGGGCTCCCGGGGGCTTCGCTCAGCGTGGCGACAGGAGCGTCGTTACCAGGCACCGGCTTATCGTGGTGGCAACGACTGCCTGCTGCTGTCCCACCTGGGGCCAGATGGACAGGGGAGTTGCCCTGGTGCCTGTCGCACTGACCCTCTTTCCGGTTCTGGTAGGCCTGCAACCCTGAGTGCTGGAGAAGTAAAGCTATTAATGCAGTGAGGAAGGAAAAGGAGAGAAACTGGTATAAAAAGTCAAAGGCATTACTCAGCACAGGAAATTTTCCTGTAACTCAGCTTCTTAGCTGTCTTGTCTCGGGAAGAGATTTCCACCAGGCATAATCTCCTGTGAGTGGATTACAGTCTACAGAATCAAATAGGCAGGTAGTCGGGAAAGGCATTAATGGTGCTTAAACCAACTTCTTAAATTGCACTTGGATTTTATAGTCATAGTAACAAATGATCAAGTTGAAAATATGTAAACATACACGGTTCCCCACATCTTTGTTACTACGTTTTCCAACGGGCAGACCACAGAGGGAGTCATTTTAAAGGACTTTTTAAAATTTTTTAATCTACGTAGCCCCACCGGCCTCACCCCTGATGAATGGCCTTCACGACTTAAAACGTTCCTCAAAGACGAGTTTTCATCTCTTTGTTTCCCGTATTATCCAAGGGTATAGGATTATTTTTTTCACGTTTTAAATTCCCAATTGGCAGGTGTTATGACTACCCCAACCTGTTTTTTTTTTTTTTCTTATTAAATTGGTCAACTAAATGGACTAGTGGGGTCAAAAAAAAAAAAAGACTTCTCCAAGAGTTCAACATGTGGTTATGTTATTTTTATAATTAAAAAAAAAAAAAGTGGTTCCAGGACAGTTTACTTTGTAGAAAGGCAAAAACAAAATGAACAAATCTCTATAGATGCATATGCAAAAGAAAATGACATACAAATGTCCTTGTAAAAGTAAAGTATGGGGTGGAGAGAGTCCCACCTACACAGGAGGCTGAGAAGCAGGAGAATCTTTTGATCACAGGAGTTCCAGCCTTCAGTAAGCTATGATTATACTCTGTTCTCCAGCCTGGGAGACAGAGTGAGACCCTGTCTCACAAACAATAAAAATAAAAATGATAATAAAAAGTATGAAAATATGTGCGTATATTGTTTCTTACTGTGTAGTCTTAGGCCAGTTAACCTTTATTTATCTCTTTAGTGGATTTTAGGATTACAGAGGTAGCAGAAATATAAATGTTTGACATATAGTAGGTAATAATTTTCTGTTTTGTCCTAAAGTTTTTATTAAATGAAGAAAATTGATTCAATCCCCAGATGTGGTGGTTCTTTAACTTCTGAGCCTGAATTCTAGACTGAATGCATTGACAGAGAAGTGTGGATCACTTTTCTGCATGCCTAGGTGTTGTAGCTTACTTTGGTAAAGAATGAAAGCTGATTTGCTCATAGCCATAATATTTTAATTTTTTCGTATTGGTAAGTGAAGATCTTATGTTCCAGAAAACTATTATAGACAGACTTAATTTTTTTCTGTTTAGAGTTGACATTTTTTGTCCCTAGTTTGAGTTCTTGCATTTTTGCTAAGTATAAACCATTTGGTGAAAAATGAAAATTGAGCATCCAACTTCTCAGTGTATTTAGGCAGATAGATGTATTAATGGATAATTCTTTAAAAGCAAAATATCTAGCTGGGTGTGGTGGCTCACGCTTGTAATCCTAGTACTCTAGGATCCGGGAGAATACTTGAGCTCTGAGTTTGAGACCAGCCTGAGCAAGAGTACTATAAATAGAAAAATTAGGTAGGCATTGTGGCAGGCACCTACAGTCCCAACTACTTGGGAGCCCGAGGCAGGAGGATCATTTGAACTCAGGAGGTTGAGGTGGTTGTGTGCTACAACTAATTTTCCTCCCAGAATTACTAAATCATCTAAAGAGCATCTAGATTTAGTAGGCCCAAAAAAATTTACACTAAGTATCCATCAGTAGAATAATAAAAGAAAGTCACAAATTCAACCACCAGAACTGTAACTTTTATTTGCTAATAGATATTTTAATAAACAGGCTTATTCCATCTGTAGGACCCTGATAATGCCTCTTAGGAAATCATAAAAAAATAAAATACAGTAATTAGTAATTTGTACTTTGTACAAAAATCTTATTATGTTGCTCAGCAGGTAGTTTTGCTAAACACCATATTCCTTCAGTAAATAGATGACATATGTTGTGCAATTCACCACAAACAAACCCTCACATTGAGAGCCAAGCATTCTATAACACTATTAACTTGTAAGCATGCCAGCACATAAAAATTTACATGAAATGTCATAATTTCATAGTAGATTTTTGTAAGATGAAACAATACCACCTTCAGATAAGTCTGGACTACTTCACCACTATATTAAAGTAGATAATAGGTAGGATTGTAGTTCAATTTTTAACACCCTTTTACTGTGCTCATCCCTCTGCCATATTGTGATTATAACCAAAACAAGAGAACGAACGCAAGCTGTGTGAGGAACCTGAGTGAAAGGCATATATTGAAGACTAAATAGTTATAAAGTACCAGAAAGGAAAAAATAATACAGTGTTGCCCTTCATTATTTTCACAAACAGATGTTTCCCCCCTTTGTAAGAATAAATGGGGAGGGTGCTAAATCTTTAATCAATGATATATAGCTTTATGACAATTTACAAAGATATTTCAAAAAATCATTTAGATAGGCAGAAAAAATATTTTCAGCTGTTTTTTGTTAGTTAAATCTATCTAAGGGATTAAATGTCTCAACATAGATGTCATCTAGGTATGATGAATGTGCTATTTAGTATTAATAAAGTTTATGACTTGTGCTACAAATATTTTTATAGCAGTTATTTGGGGCACACTGAAATTGTTGATATCATCTACCATTTAAAATTTAATGTTGCCATTTATATAAAGTGTTTAATCAAATATGTATTTATAAGTAATTATATTTTTGGCTATGCTAGAACAGCAAAAAAAATGGAGTCAATCTTATTCCATTGTTCATCTAATTTCACATCAAATCCATAGGATAAATATGTATCTTTACATTGCAACACATTGAATTACATACAACTTGGAGATATATATGTGTGTGCATATATATATGCATACGTATATCCAGAAACAATGCACCAAACACAATTAAAAGATCACATCTTTCTTATAGGATAAGAAGGGGCACAATGGGCAAAATAACCTATTGCCCATGTGTTTTCTTTAAATGACAAAAGGTATTGATGTTTTTCAAATGAAAAAATAATTTTTATTAAAAGATTAATTCCCATTTATCTTTTCTTCTTTTTAATTCAAACAAGAACTCAATAACCTCCAAAAGAGTGTTTGAGTAAATTAACAGGCTGAGTATGCAATATACATGTTGCAGGATTAAACTTATTTTTAGTTTTCATGGACTTTGAATTGTAATAGAATAGCTACAAAATATTTTTTGCCCTTTAACCTGTAATAGATAAAAATAAAGAAGTAAACATTAGAAGTATCTATGGCATTGAGAAGGTCTCAGTTTATCTCTGCATTATGGAAAGCACAGAATTCAAACTTTCAAGTCAATAAATTTCTTCCTATTATGTGTTACACACAAATACTGACAATGTGTGTGCTTGTATACACACGTATAAATGTGTATACACACATGCACATACATATATTCACCTTCCCACTTTCCAACTACTCACACATCTCTCCTCTAACTTATATTCCCAACCCTCATATCAACTTTTATTTTTGGTACCACTACTCACACAATGACATCCTTACCTTTTTACCATGAATCTACCAACCTATTGCATTCTGCCTCTTGTTGGAGTTCTACTTAATTCTAACCCCTTTACCTCTAAAGGCCTTTGCTAAAATGATGCTTTTTCCTGCATAGTTTTCACTTGTCTGCCAAATCATTCTCATTACTATATAATGCTCTTAACATTTTATCTGAAAACTAAAAGAAAAACAAACTCTCTTGACCCCATCTCTCTCTCCTGCTATTGTCCTGTTTCTCTTGTTCCCTTTACAACAAAACTTCCTGAAAGAGTTTATATTAAAAGATACCCCATCTTCTTTACTTATATTTCATCTTACTCCACTTCAGTTAGGCTTTGACTTCACTATTCATAGGGGTTGCCCTTGTCAAAGTTATTAACAACAGTCATGTTTCCAAATCCAATGGCCATTTCTTTGTTCTAATCTTGACTTAAAAGCTTTTTATCCAGATGACCATTTGGATTTCTCCACATTACTTTATCCTCCTCAGTTTCCTCTGTTGGATTCTAATTCTCTGCTTAATTTCTAAACACTGAAGTGCCCTGGAGCCCAGTGTTAGGCGTATTCATAACAGCTTTTTCCTAGGTGATTTAAAAATTATTTATTTATTATTATTATTATTATTATTTGAGACAGAGTCTCACTCTGTTGCCCAGGTTAGACTGCCATGGCTTCTCCCAGCTCACAGCAATCTCAAACTCCTGGGTTCAATCTATCCTCTGTCTCAGCCTCCCAAGTAGCTGGGATGACAGGTACCTGCCACAATGCCTGGCTAATTTTTTTCAATTTTTAGTAGAGATAGGGTCTCCTTCTTGCTCAGGTTGGTCTCAAACTCCTGAGCTCAAGCTCCTGAACTCTTCTTGCCTTAGCCTTCCAGAGTGCTGGGATTAGAGG